CAGGGTGTCCTAAAAAAGTAACTTCTAATAGGTCACGTGAGGTGGCAGTAGAAATATATCTTGTCTACTTACCTGCTTCTAAATAAGCTATTTATATAACTAATTTCTTTCAGGTACCTACTTAATAACTCATAATGGGAAGTCAAGGAAAAAAAATTGTAAGTCTTGTTAAAGAGCAAAATAGTGAAAAATTACAAAACATTAAAAATACAGAAGATCAAGCCCAAACAAAGTTACAAGTTGGCGACATTATTGATCTTGGAGTTTGCTCCAATATCCTAAAAATTGTGAATGTTGAAAATATTGTTGAAATGGATTCCAATAATGAAGTCCTAAACGACCCTGATCTCAAATGTTATTATCTTGCAAACAATAATGATGCCGGTCTTTTAGAAATAGATAATCACAATTTATTGAACGATCAATTACTTTTCGATAAAAATGGAACCGTTACTGATGAATCAACACAATTGCCCAAGATTAACCTTGTAGATTATGATTCAAGCTCATCAAATAACGACTTTGACATGTCTACTAAACCTAAAGCTCAAGCTAAAAGTAATCAGAGAAAGTTAAGACGCCGCTCATCATGTCTTTTAATGAAGGAAAGGAAAAAATATCCAGCGATAGCGAAGAATACTGGAGTGTCTTAGAAAAGCAGGTAGTAGGTAAACCAGTTAAGAAAAAGTCAAAGTTAGGGAAACGAAAATCTAGGATGATCAAAAAAGTTATGGAAAAGGAAAAGCACTACAGCCCAACCCATGCAAAACCAACTGCCCCAATCAATGCACATTAAAATTTCCAGAGGTTGTACGGCAGGATATCCACGAATTTTATTGGGGACTGGGAAACTCACAAACGCAAAAGGACTGGTTGTTATCCTGCATTAAACAAGTAGGAATCAAAAGGAGAAGACAAGAAGCTGAAACGAGTAGAAGACATACAAATTTCAAATACGTTATTCCTTGGAACGATGTTGAACATAGAGTGTGCCAGAAATTTTTATTAAAAACATTGGATATTTCACAGATGACCCTTAGATATACGAAAAGTAATGCTGTTTCATGTAGAATTAGTAAAACTGACCAGAGAGGTCGACACGAACCGGCCAATAAGACCAGTTCCGAACTAAGACAAAATGTAGTCAACTTTATAATGAAGTTACCGGCAGTTCCTTCTCATTATTGCAGGGCGAAGACCTCCCGAAAGTATTTACCGAGTGAGTTTCGAAACTTGGCTTTTTTGTATAGAATTTTTGTCAAAGATCAGATTAATATTGGCAATAATAGTCATGTTAGTTTTAAAGTTTTTAGGGGGATTTTTCAAAACGAGTTTAATATTGGGTTTCACTTACCCAAAAAAGATAAGTGTGTTATATGTGAACCCAGAAAAGACAAGGATTTTAAAGAAACTGAAAATTCGGCACACGCATACAAAAAGCACCTTGGTTTAAAAGATATTTGCAAAGAAGAGTTTTTAAAAAATCAAAAGAAAGGCCTAAAGGAAGAAAATTTTCTTTGTGTTAGTTTTGACCTTCAAAAGGTTCTTAGTACTCCCTATGGAGATAATCTGCTTCTGTACTATGCACGAAAATATTCATTCTACAATTTGACTGTTTACGAAAATGTCACACAAAATGCCTTATGCTATTTATGGGGTGAATGTGATGGCAACAGAGGCTCAAATGAAATTTGCACTACGCTCTACAAGCATTTACATGGGGTTGATAAAAAAGGAACAACTGAACACGTTTCTTTTCATTGCGACAGTTGTTCTGGACAAAATAAAAACAGAAGTACTCTGGCAATGCTATTTTACTTTTTGGCTGAATCTTCCAAAATAAAGACAATAAAAATCACCTTCCTATTACCCGGACACACCTACATGCCTGTAGATTCAATTCATGGTACTATTGAACGCTTTATTAAGAATCGCATTATATGGGCACCATCTGAATGGGAAACAATTATTGGAAATGCAAGAACTAACCCTAGAAATTAAGAAACCGTTAAACTGTGTTTTACAGATTTTTTAGATTGGAAACAACTGTCCAATGAAGTTCTTTAGCCCAAAAAGTTTAAATCAGTTGAAGGTGAATCGATAAAAATTACTCAGGTACGAAGTGTTTATATTGAAAAGAATAATCCTAACGTTGTTATTGATTATTCATATGATGGTTCAGACATTAAAATAATGAAAATTGCGTTACCTAAAAAGGTTAATTTAAAATCTAAAAGACTGTACAGCAACAAATTATGTGTAACTCCAATAAAAAAAAAGAACTTTGAAGATCTATGTAAGAAAAATGTAATTCCGAGAAAATATCATCAAGACTATTTTAATATGAATACATCAGATAAAATATCTGATGTGCTACCGGAAACGGACCAAGAAGATGAAGTTGAAGAACTGGAAGATCAATAAAATAGTTGTTCTAAAAATTATAACAGGTTATTTATAAAAATAAAGTTTTTATTATTCTCATTCAAATAAAAAAAAACTGTTAGTTTATTTTGATGTTTTTGGTTTAGTTTTCTTTGTGTAGGTATTTAAAATAAAGAAATCTTGCCTTAAAGAATAATTATTGTTTTAATTATTATTATCAAAAGTACAAAAGTATTACTGCCAAAACGTCGTATGAAACACAATGTACGATAAAATCTTCAATGTTAGTTGCATTTAAGTAAGGCAAAGTATCTTAAGCGACTGTCACAGCAAGATTATAAAGAAATTCGAAAATAATATTTTATTTATTAAAACCTCTTATTTAGAAAAAGTGGAATCCAAAATTTTGTAAGGTTATAACAACAATTATTGTAATTATCCTAAAATCCTGTCTGTTGTAAAATTTGCTCAATGTTGTATACGATGTTTTGCCGGTAAGGTATCGATATTGATGCAGGAACCCAATAAAGCCATGATTTCAAAAAGGAAAGACTGGATAAAAGATCCTAGGATCAATACAGCTGTTTACCTAAGAAACAGAAACTATGGAGTAAATAACATATACCAGAGGTGAAGGATGTGTCAAACTAAGGTTTGAGAATTGAGCCTTACATAACTGCTACATATCGTCAGATGTGGATTTAGAAACGTATAAAGCATAATATATTGATACTATCATGGAGAAGGTTAGGAACGAAAAAGTGGTAGTTGTTGCGGGCGACCTTAATGCGAAATAGATATTACACTGGATGTATCCCTCTTAATATACTTGTAGATGAAAGAGCAAGGCTATACGACAGACGAACAAATGATGCGGAAGTTAAAATATCCGAAAGACTTAAATTAATAGATATCTGGCAGAATAGGTGAAGCAGCAATACTAACAAAGCTGTTTGGACGAGGAGGTTAATTCCAAATATCCCAAATTGGTTAGACTACAAGTTCAAGGAAACAATTTACTCTCTGAGCCAATTTTTCACGGGACACTGCTCTTTTAGGGCTTACACCTACATAATTAGTAAGACACCTGGCAGTAATTGTATATACTGTAACGAGGAGAATACGGTGGAACACACATTTTTCAAATGCAACAGATGGAAAAGATACAAACAGATAACAAAATTATCACTAAAAGCTGAAATAACCCCAGAAAATATTATGCTCAAACTAATGGCCGACAAAACGAAAAGGGTTGAAGGAACAAAAGAAATAATAGAGATTATGAAGTATAAAGAGAAAGAGACAATCAAAGAAGATAATGTAAAGACTGACAGAGACGAATCAAGCAATGCTCACAAGAGTTGTACCGGCGTTTCTGTGACAAGAGGTGGTTTTAGCAAGTAGGCTATCGCTAATCTGTAGAATCCTGCAGGTCTGGGTTCACGTCCCAGATAGTCTTTTGAAGATTTCTACATCTTAATTTTTTAAAAAAAAAAAGCAAATTATATATATATATATATATATATATATATATATATATATATATATATATATATATATATATATATAAAGTTAATTATAATTCTTAACTAGCTTAAAAAAAAAGTTATTGGCGCCCATATACCCTTAAAATATTCCCCAAAGTGTAGAAAAGCCTGAATTCACGACTGAGAAAACTACAGTCTCATATGCTCATTTGGTTTCTAATTGGATTAAGACCAATCATGGTAAGTAAATAGTTTGATATAAATATATCTAAGAGCTAGTCAAAATTAAATATAATTAATTAACAAAGGTAATTAACTTTTAATTATTACATCTTATTAGGTATGTATTCGGTTTTAATTTTATTTCTTTTATTGAGCTAGTTTGCTAATATCACAAATACAAATTTAAAGTCTGTTCCAACAACGATCAACAGCAGGATTCAGCGCAGTAGATTATTGGGACCTCTAAATTATGGGGTTTCTGATCGTTGTTGGAACAGACCTTTACTAATTTTTATACATGCCTGCGAAAACACAAGATTTTAATAAATTAAACCCTCTAAACTAAAGTAAGTAGATTTGGCACGACAAAAACTTTCATTTCACCAGAATTAATGAAAAATTACTTAATTTTTGTGAAAGTTCAGGGTATTAAAACTTCATTAACGTCACATTTCGAAGAACTATATAAAATCGTTAGTAGAGATGATCAAGTTTTTAAAGTTTTAATTAATGGTAAAGAATCATTAGCAGAACAAGATGTTTCAAAACTAGTTAAAAAGGTTTGTTTTGTATTAAACCCAATAGTTTAACCCAGCTAACTCCTTCTGAACATTTTGCAGAATAACTAGTGAAATTGTGTTTAAAATTTCTGCGCTGTGTGATGTGAATAGGCACACGAGATATATCATCACGAGGCTGAGCCATTTAAACTGGCAACGTTGATTATTCGTTTTTTGCTCGCACTAATGCTAACTGTCTGTAGTTTTCACTTTGACATTAGCAAAGTATATTCGAAAGCGTTCAATAGCTGACACTGTATAATAAAATATTTAAACCTCAAATCTAACCCAATTTCTACATAAAATAAAATCAATTTATTGATTAATTTAATATTTGTGCACTTACTCCACCCACACTAATGGTAACTTGAGCTGTACTCGTACTGACGCCTAGTTGAGGGTCTTTCCCTAAAAGGCCTTGCGCTCTTTCGGCTTGTTCCGCTTGTTCTTTAGCTCTTCGGGTGATATGGGATCTGGCGTGTTTTCTTAAATGGTCTTTTCGATAGAAACCTTAAAAAACATTTATAATTTTATTTGGTTTATTTTCATATTTATATGTTAAACATACCTTTGCCGCACTCTCCGCATATCTCTGTCTTCTCTCCAGAATGGATGACAAAATGTAAGTTCAAATGTTCTTTTCTCTTAAATCCCTTCATACACACTGAACAGACAAAAGGCCGTTCCGGATTGTGACCAAGTTTGTGTCGCTCCAAGTGTTCTTTGCGTTTTAGACCGGCTCCACAGATGTCACAGATAAACCTTCTCTCGATTTTGTGGCCCACCAAGTGTTGTTCCAAGAGCTCCTTTTCGGGATAGGCCATATGACACTCTGGACAACAGAAGAGCGTCGTGCCGTCTAAGGCAGTGGCTATGTGTACTTGTCCTGTAAATTGAGTTTTTTTTGCACTTGTTGCAGAGTTTTTATAAATTTTGAATATATTACATCATAACATAACAATTAACAGAAGGAAGTTTCATTGGTTTTTCAACATATGGCCGTTCAAATATACAAGAGTGATACTTTTTAATATGATCTCTGTTTTCAATAGGTACTTAAAAATTTGGAAATTTGGTCGCACCTGAGATGTTGGCCACTACATAATATTAAGTGGAAAAATTTACAAAATAACAAAAAATATATAAAAATAATATCTTTGATAATCAAAAATTTGAGGTAAACAACTTTACATATTTCCAAACATTTAACTAAAATTATCTGACTTTCCATGACTAATCTAAATTTTCTTAAATTCTTTGACTGTTCCAATCAGTATCAAAAAAAAAATAACTAATTTAAACTGGCAACGTATAAAGTCAATATTATTATTACATGACAATCCAATCCTGTGAACGTATATTAAGAAGTTAAAGAAAAGATTACAGTGTGTTATAGGTCGAAATAAAAAAGGAAAAAAGGGTATAGCAATGTAGATTAGAGGCAAAATAATTATTTATATTATATTTATACATAAAGAGATGGCAGGTACAATGATTAAAACATGTTCAATAAAAGAGAATAAAAAGTATGGAGCCCAAATAAATTACATATATAGAAAAATCTAAAATGACATGGACCACAGAATTCAGCAAAAACAGGTAGCAAAAACTGAAGAAAAATAAACGATAAATGAGGAAGATTTTAAAATATTCTACATTTAACATTATATTATAAATATTACATACCCGGTTTAGGTTTCTTTGGTTTCGGAGGTTTCTTCTTGTATCTCTTTTTTTTCTTTCCCTTATCATTGGGATCATCCACACTTTCCTCATTTTCCATCTCACCAACATCTTGCATAATAAGGTGACCATTGCCATCATGAGTGGCAATGCTAACAGTTTCAATTATTCCGTCTTCAGAGATGATTTCTCTTTTTATATCGGTAGTGTTGAATTTTAAAAACTGTTGCAAGCTAAGGGGTAAGGCAGTGTTTTGCATTTTTTGAAGGTATTCCTGTAGGTTTGTAGTTTGGAGGTACTGGGTGGGAAGAGACATGGAAGCAGCTGTTTCTTCGGAATCTTTTAATTCGTTTTTTATCATAGCAACGGGTGTTGAATCTTTATCACTTTTTTCTAATTCAGTATGGGCTTGTATCAACTGGATATCTTGCGGTTGAAGAGCTGCGACTACAGTCATGCCTTCTGGAACGCCGTTCTGACCGTCCAACTATTTTCAAAATAGAAAATTTGTGAGATAATTCGAATGAGTTTAGTTTTAAAAAAGGCCATGCTGAATATTGTTTTGGTTATTTAAAAACAAGGCCAGGAAATAGAATGTACTAAAAAACCAAATTAAAAGAATTAGTAAATAAACGTGAACTCCCTAGAAATAGTCCTAGAAATATTAAGTTTTTTTAAGCTTCAAATTAAAATATTTTATCTACAGATTCAAATATAAAAATGCTAACTTTAGTCAATATTAAAGAAGAACCATTTCTGAAATATTTAATTAAAAAAAAACACAAAGCGACATATCAGTTGAAACGAGTTTCGAGAACACATTTTCTGAAAGTTGTTTTCGCGTTCCCTCGAGTCGGAAGTAATTTAGGTATCGCTGAATTGCTTTAATAAAATTTTTGTTTTTGAATATTAATAATATCTCTCTCTGCATATATAAAGTGGGGAGGGTGGGTTGCTCCACAACACTAGGCCTTACAAGGTCTATTGTACATCATTCAGGGGCATATATAACCTACCTTTTAACTTGTTATAACCTGCTGGTTACCCCTAAGAGGTGTATTTTCCCAGCTCATCAAAGTCCTGAAGGTTATCAACTCGTCAAAAACCTTGTGGTTGATGGTGAGAGGTGTCTAGAGACAGCCATCTTTCCAGCTCAAAAAAGTCCCACAGGTTATTAACTCATGAAAAACCTGCTGATTGTGCCTAGATGCCCCATTTTTGAGAAGTGGCCATTTGGTGGGCTTCTATAACCCCGATGGTATGTAAATGCTCGGGTTAAGCCACTTTATCCACATATAAGGAAATGCAGCCATTAAGCTCAGTATGCATGTTGAGATATGTACATTTTTCTTAATTCATGTGATGCGGAATTTTTTAAGCTATGCAGTAACAGTGATTGATTGAATCTAATATTTAAATTAACAATTCGGACATCTAATGTCCTGATAGTCAAGTTGGTAAGGCAATGTGCATAAACAGCTAATATCGACGGTTTGAATCAAATCCCGGGACATATTTTTTTTTAAATTAATTTGTCTTCACTTTGGAGGTTAAAAATAATTTCATTATTGCGTAGGGGTAATTTTGTAATGTAATTGGAAACTTTCAAAGAATATAATGCCTTTCACTGTATATAAAATAAAAAACACTAGGTGTATAAAATAAAATGAAAGGCATACACATGCTACACTAATTTAGTAAATATAAAGAGAATTCCTCAACTGTATATATGAACTACCTACCTAATATCAAATATATATTTTTTATTTTAAGCTCGAACACTTTTTCATTATTTTATTTGGATTTAATATATACAGGAAGGACATTGTATAGCGTCAATCTGAGAAAATTATACGAATTAAGACACAGAGACAAACGTGTTGAATACAAATGAAAATTACTTTTAATTCGAATATTATAATCATGAAATGAAATATTTAGTTTAAATTGTTTATTTTTGTTAATTATTGTATGTCTCAGTACACACTATGGCGGTAGGCAAATCCACTCCTATTTGCCTTTATTGTTAAATAACTACTTTTATGAAAAATACAAGTTTTATTGTTTATATGTACCTATCTTATAATTATTATATTTGCATTTCCAAACTCTACTTCACATTGCAGAGAACAATACAAAATAATGGGATCATCGCGCAATTCGAATGCTGAAGATTTAATGAATATTAATAGTTAAATTTTTATTTAGAAGGTTTTTGTAGTCAATTGTTATTCGTCTTTATTTTATACGAAAGATATCAAAATGTAATTTGAGTAAAAAATAATGGAGTTAGCAGGTTTATATCCTAAGTAGATGGACTTTGAATTATATTCAAGATAAATCTATTTTATAGATCTCAGAAATGTTTTTTTTTCAGTATGGTTTTGATATATCTAAAAATTTCATCATAGAATTATAGTACAGTAGTCTGTGAAGAGTATTTTCGTTTTATTTCGAGAAACCAAACATTTTAATATTGATCAAAATTTAAAATTTTTTGTACCAAAATATTTCTAATCAAATTTTAAACAACTATTAAAAATGTCCGTCTAATGTCACGTTTTTTGTTCAAAAAAGAAAAATTATATCAACTTGAAACGTAGCTCATTGAATTTGAAATAAAAAAAATCCTAACTCAAAAACAAAAAATGATATCAATTCGAAATTTTTAGTAAAAATCAAGCTCTAAGGGGACGAAAGACTGTAGATTTTGAAAAAAAAAAATAAATAAAAATGGGGCTATGAGGGGAGGAGGGGGTTGAAATAAAAAAAAATTAAAAACTTAAAACGATATAAACTCGAAATTTTCAGGAAAATAAGGCTAAGAATAAAAATAGAGGGGTTGAAATTTAAAAAAAAAATCCTAAATCAAAAAGCGATGTCAATATGAAATTTATAATAAAAATCAATCTTTACAAGGGGATTCTGAAAAAAAAGACTAAATAAAAATGAGGTGGTTAAGGAGGGTTAATATAAAATAAAAAAAAAAAACCAAAAAAAAACAAAACAAAAAAAACAAAACAAAAAAAAACAAAAAAAAACAAAAAAAAAAACAAAAAAAAACACGATATCAACTCGAAATTCTCAAAAAATAAGGGGATAAAGCCTATTAATAAAAATGGCGGGGTTAGATTAGATTTAATTAGGACTATGGGCCATGTGGCCTCCCCCACCTCGACCTTTTCAGATCTATTGTGGATATCCTTTAATCATTGTTTAGAGTACCTTGTCTAATGCGGTCTTTTGTAGTAGACTCCATAGACTGGGAAGTAGTTCTCCGGTATAGCTAGTTGCCCTTGGTTTTTCTTCTCCAAGTGTAAGGAATCTCAGTCTTACTAGACCTTCGCAGTAGCACAATACGTGTTCTGCCGTTTCTTCTTCTTCTTGACAGAATCGGCACAAGGCCTCTTCTGTCAGACCGATATTGAACATATGTTTGTTAAGCCTACAATGCCCTGTTAATAGACCTACTAGTATTCTAGTATTTTTCCTATTAAGGCTTTGTAGATGCTCGGTGAGTTTAGACGATGGTCCTTTTAAGAACTTTTTGGCCTGTCTCTGTCCTGGTGAGTTTTCCCACCACTCCTGAGATTTTTTAAACATCCACTGCTTTGTGCATGTTCTGATAGTTTTTGTTACACCACAGAAGGGTTCTGGGCCAATAAGAGCATTTGAAGCTCCTTCTCGGGCTAGTAAATCAGCCTCTTCATTGCCTTTGTGTCCCCTGTGGCCTGGTACCCAGGCTAAGGTTAGTCTGTTTTGACTACCCAGCTCTGTTAGGACTTCCAAACAGTCCCATACAAGCTTTGAGTGTACCTGCACGGAACTGAGTGCTTTTAACGTCGCTTGACTGTCTGAGTATATGACAATGGTTTTTCCATTTACCTTCTGTCTTAATACTTCTTTTGCGCAGTGATGTATTGCTGCTATTTCTGCCTGGAATACTGTCGCATGTTTACCTAAGCTCAGTGAGATTCCTGTCTTTGGCTTGGTACTATATATACCTACTCCTGAACCTTCATGGGTTATGGAGCCGTCTGTATACCAGGCGAGATGTGCATGAATAGGAGGTCCTCCCGTCCACGCTTCCCTATCTGGTATACTTACTTTATATTGCTTTTGAAAGCTATACTTTGGAAGCATTTCGTCTGAAGGCATTCCCATTATTTGGTCGTTCTCCAACTCTTTATATAGCTCGCTGTAGTCGCGTCCATGCAAACTGCTTATGGGCGATGAACCTTTGTGGCGGGGTTAATGAAGGTTGAAATATTAAAAAAAAAATCATTAATCAAAAACGAAAAGCGATATCAACATGAACTGTTTATTAAAAATCAAGCTCATAATGGAATTCTGAATAAAAATTAGGGGGTTGGTATTTAAAAGAAATCCTAACTCAAAAACGATAAATTATATCAACTTGAAATTTTTAGTAAAAATCGAGCTTCATAGGGGAACGAAGCCTATGGATTTTGAAAAATAAATGAATAAAAATGGGGGTTAAGAGGGGTAGAAATTAAAAAATCAACATGAAATATTTAGACAAAATTAAGCTCTATAAGGGAATGAAGCCTATTAATTCTGAAAAAAATCTGTTAAACTGTGACTAAAAGACTAAATTTGAAAAAAATTCATAAGCTGAATACATTTCTTTTTTTTTTTTTTTCTAATACATTTAGTATTTTCCTTAGTGTTTTTTTTTTATTAAAATAATGTAGAAAAATAAAAAACAAACTTACAATTTGAATTCCTTCCTGATTCGAATTATAAGCTACTGTTAGAACCGTAGCACCTTGGCTAAAAGCTTGGATAGGTATCTGTGAAATTTGATATTTAGGAGAACTCGGTGGACTCGCCTGCGAAACGGGGGTGTGTTGTGGATTGACAACTTGGATTTGTACAGTTTGTTGGGGATCTCCAGGTTTAGCCCCAGGCATCGTGATGGGTAGCGTTATTATTTGGGTCCCCTGAAACATAGCCTGTTATGTGTTCCAAGTCACTACTCTTATACCCCAATAATTGGTTTTAAATAAACCTATTCAAATACATTATTACCTGATTTTGATGAGATGTTGCCGTTGCAAAGGCATTTGCGTCTAATGGACGAATATAATGAACACCATTTTCACCACCCTGTAAAACGCCTACGACTTGACCGTTTGGAGTCGTAACACTTTGGGTAATTTTTCCTGCTGTGAATTGGGTGGCTACCGGCAATGCTGCCGATAAAGGCACACCAAATGGTGTGAAATTCATCTTTAATTAGTTCCTGAAAGTTAAAAAAAAAAAAATAGAATATATAATAATAAATATAAAAAAGTTTATGTAAACGCTGTTGTGAAAAATTTGCTTATCTTTTAAATGAAAAGTTTAACGGTTTTTAAAACATCGCACGTATAATTAATAAATAAATTATTTTTTTTTAATTAATCAGATCAGTTGGATTTTATATTTGGGCGTAATTATATATGACGCCATTTTCTATTAAGAGGGCGTGTCCCGCGGTTACGTAGATGGGGCCACACTTTTTTTTTCGCTCTTCGTGTTTAGTTTAAAAAGAATCTTATACACTATCGAAAAATAAAAATCTATAAATCTGTATCGCACAAAATTTTTTTATGTATATTAAAGCTTAACAAAGGCCACCGCTTTCAGCCCGAGAGCCATCTCCAGGCCTAAAAGGAGGCTAGATAAGGTGTAGAGAAAATACAAAATTACAAGTTGGTAACATACTTTAAAATAACTGAATCTTAGATTAGGTTCAGGTCGATGATCATCACAAGTAGTAATTAAACCAATTATAAATTATCATAGAAAATAAGACAAATCCTTCATAAGGGGTTGCTGGTACTGAGGAACAATTGTAGTGAGATTTAAATGTGAGATACCATCCCATTTCGGTGGGAAAAACAGGAGGGGAGTCAAGTTTAGGTAGGTAGTATTCAATTAGTAGCGCCTGGTGCATAAATGCTGTAGAGCTGCAGAACTGTCAAAAAATGCAAGAATATCATCTGCATTTTATAGAAATTATTTTAGAGATTCTAAAATTAAATATATTTTGTGTACTGCAACGCTTGGGCCGCCGCTCGCTCATCGTCTCCTTCGATAGGCATATGCCTGTCAAAAAGCTAAATTAACAAGTTTGCGAACAGCGAAACTTTCTTGTCAACAATATTTTGATCAAAAATTAAAAAAAAAATGTATTCTACTTTAAAATTTTTCAATACACCTTTTTTTTAATTTTTGATCAAAATACTGTTGACAAGAAAGTTTCACTGTTCGCAAACTTTTTTGAAGTCGTTAATAAATAAAACACAAAGCCATATGTCACACAAAATACGAGCAAATGTAGAATATTGAAATACAATTTCTCTGCTGTCTTTGAATAACTGTTGCGGTATTAGCCAAAGGAGTAGTTGTTTTCCGAAGGGAAACGGTCGCTCGTATTTTGTGTGACATATGACCTTGTGTTTTATTTATTTTATTTTAGTAAATTTATTAATATAATATAATTAAAACTGCATTTGTTTATTATTTTTATAAATTTACTATTGTAAAAATCAGTAAAACACAAAACAAATTTATTTGAAATAAAAAAAACCTACAGAATAAAAGAAGGTAAAGAAATGCTGCCTAGGAAACGTTGAACGGATTTGTCCAGTCATGAAACTGACTGACCACTCATCCAAGGATTTATCCGCATCTTGATATACCTATCTGTCCTATTTTGTTCTGAATTATCGGAATTTATCCGCTTTTGAAACTTACATTAAATTTAAATGTGGATTTTTAATTTGAATTGTCGACTTTTGCTTTTTATTTGAAGACAGATCTGTAGACAAGCCGATTCCGATTGCAGCATGATAAAATACCGCGCAGTTGTAAAAACGGAATTTGTCCGTTTTTGAATCTAGACGCCTCATATTATGCTATAAGCAGTTTAGGAAGCGGCAGGTATATGGGTATGTGAGCCGGCTCAGCTTTGTGTCTTGAAACTAGAACCCACATCTGGAGCTTAGAGCCTACACGAGCCGCAAACAACACCTTGAAAAAGAGTGACATTAAGTTCATGTGTCGTGTTATGTTGTCACTGTTACGGGAAGTTGTTTATTTTATTAACATATTGAGTGACTATTTATATAAATATTTTTTATACTATTGTATGAATGATTTTATTTTCTATACAAATTTAATAAGTTTTATTTTACGTAACAATCGGTTTTAGACGCACGAAATATTTGTCTTCCAAAACAGTCACAGCCTATGTTTATGTTCACAATGGAGATACCGTATTACGAATAAGAGTTGTATGTAATGTCTTTGCGAATAAGCGAACTAAGGATAATATCTCAAGCAGGCATAAAATACAGATCATTTGAAATTTGAATTAGTTGCTTTGCGGAACAAAATTCGTTTCAATAATAATAGACTTTTAGTGATTAATTATAATTTTTGTGAGATTGAGAAAATCGTGACAGAGTGTTGCATATTGGTTACTGTCACAAAATTGATGCATTAAACATGAAGGACATATGCAAAATTTATATTTCGAATTTTTAAATACAAATTAATGGAAAAAATAGGAAAACATTTATTAATGGGGTCAATAATTTTTAAACAGTCATTCTCTTCTGTGATAATTGCTTCAGCAACAACATAAAAAAAATGGTTGGTATTTATCACATTAACTACTGTAATTGCGTACGGTTTGTTATTAGATTTTTATCAAAGGTAATACCACGGTCTTCCAAATTTTATCGATTAAGTTTTTAGTTTCTATGAACACATCTTTATTTGGAAAAATCCACGAAAACAAACCGATTGATAAAATCAGTCGTCCTGCGGACTCGCGATTTTATCTTAAATCGGTGTGTCTGAGCGGTTTTGCCTGAAATACAGTCGTTTCAGTATGGAAACTAAAAATATATTAGATCAAATTTGAAAAGACGAGCGGTAATTGCAGAGATTATTTTTTGAATCATTTTGCATGAAAAACATATTTCGAGTAGGTAATAATCTAAAAGTGTTTATTAAACATTCTATAAATTTGTTTATTTTATATTAATATAATTTCCTTTAATAGTCTAAAAAATGCGATATGGCAACGACGCATTATATCAACAGCAGTTGAGCCTATCATGCGCATAACCGCTGCAACATAAAAGTTGATTGGCATTTGCCAAAGTTTAAAATTCTTATTGTGATTTATGTGTCTCAAACTTGATCTGTTTAATTTTAGTTAATAGAGAGATATTGCAAGTTCATTTAAGGTCAGTCACTATTAGAGCTGCTCTTATTTTGACACCTGAGCATGCGCAGATCATTTATGTTCTAGAACTGACTTTATTAAAGATTTGTGCCTGTCCTTAATTATTGTGAATGTTTAAGGGCAGCGATAGTGGCGACTTTATAGCTTTCGGGTGCGCTCGCCGACATTCGTATCAGTTCGAAGTTTTCAATATTAAATATTTAATAGCATCTTCTAAAATGGTAATTTACAAATGCCTCTTCCATATTATGTACTATTATAGACAACAAAAATCGGTAACGTATTTTACCCAGAACTTCTTTCGATGTAGAAATTGTAAAAGCAGAGACCTCCTAAATTTGAATAATTTAAAATTAAAACCACCAAACGAAAAACCCTTTTTCACATTTCTCTCTCCATCGATTTTCCTCTAGATCCCACCCGAATTCTCACTTCGCCTTCACTCGGTATTCTTCGTGACGATCACCGTTATTGAACAATATTGATTGGCTGTTTTTACAATGGTCCAGTTACATAAATCAAAAGGTTGATTTTTATTTTTTCCATTCAAGTGGGACCCTCTCAGAAACTAATCTTAGTCGAAATCTGCCGACTTTTAAAAATAATTTTTTAAACTGTAATCGTCCACTTGTTTTTTTTTTAATTTTTTAAATTTTGACTGCACCCGAAGATGGAAAAAAATTAATTTCCGAAACATATGTAGTGCTGTGCTAAACGATTGAAAATAAAAACAATGACCGATTAAACCAAGGAAATTTTTATTTAGATAATATATTTTTGTTCTCACTATTCTACCCTCTGTAACACCACTGGCCAAAGCAAGATGATATAATTAATTATAATTACCACATTCGACTTAACAATCTGATAACCAACAAACTGATAATAGTTAACAGTGTTATAAGAACATTTGCTATTCACCATCAAATTTCAAACCAATAATAGTTAACTAAAAGTAACCAGAAATTATGTTGGTACTGATCTGTAATGGCTAACTTCACCACAAATATTACTGTCACATGACACAAAAATTAACAGAGGTTTGATACTTAGCCGACGAAATCTCGTCTAGTTCGCGCATGACGTATTGTGGTGTGGAATATCGCTATCTAATTGGCCATGAGCAGATTAAAATTTATTTTCGAGTGCTGTTTTCGATTAACCGATACCTCAAATTTGTAAAAGCCACGCCTTTCCACCACAATACGTCACCGTGACGTAGAATCTCAATCGGCGTAATATTATATCTTCTTTTTATAGTATCATGTTACTTTCATACCAAAGTCTAAATATCCTTCTTACCAGTGGCGGCTCGTGGGCACTAGCGGCAGTGAGGCACACACTGGAAAGGAATCCCGGGATTCGTTTTTCCCTTAGGAAAACAAGTTCTCCGCTTAATGAAAATTAAATATATTTCAAAACAAATTAAATATTACAAAATTGAAGACTAACTGCTAGGTATCGCTGCAGTTGTATACTATTTCTTATGGTTGAAGTCCATTCTTCTGTATTTTTGGCTAGCGAAGTGATCGATGACCAGATTATTAAAATTTGGAATGGACCGAATAAGTTTTTTTTTTCGATGGATAACATGGCTAACGCGCACAATCTATCTTGGCACATAGTGTTCCTTAAAAATGTTTTAATACGTTTTAGTGTCGAAAAACATCTTTCACTCTCCACTGTGGTCATGGGAATTGTACACAGGATAGTTAGCAGCTCCACAGATTCCGAAAATGTAATTGTCAAATTGTTCTCAAAAAACATTTATAATAACGGTACGGCCCCATTGTGTTGCACAAAGTCATCTCGGGTGTAAAGTATGGACACTTCGTTTTTGAATTTTAAGCTGTTTACGTTTGGAAATAAACTACACACAGTTTTAACGTCCTCATTTGGAAAACAACCTCGGTAGTCTTTAAATTTTTCACTATCAAATAAACTTGCAATTGTTAGGTGGGTAGTAAAACTAAAACGTTCATTTATATGCACTACTATTG